CAGAACAAACAAACCAAACACTGACTCTACACGTTTAGAATGGGAGGGTGAGGCACGGGTGTTATTGTGTGCAACTACACCAGATGCCACTAAATCCTACACACTGGACCTTTAAAATGTGAGGATTTGCTGCTTTTCTGTGCTTTATATCGTAAAATATCTGATATCTTTTTTAAGTTTTTGGAGAAAAACAAGCAGTTTGAAGGTTTTTTTTTTTTTCTATTTTATTACATTTTATGGATTTAATAATTAATCTAATTAAACATTAAAACGTTAAAACATTAATGGATGATGACAATAATCATTAGTTGCAGCCCTGGTACTGTACTGTTTATAAAGCCTATGCTGGGAGTTGCATTAAACTCTGAAGCTCTGCCTGCTGAAGGCGTCATTAGGCAGTGGTTTTCAAAGTAAAACGATTCAAATGTTTTTCATAAGCAACCTTATCAAGTGATGATATCTTCCTTGCTCTTCTTGTAAATTATTTCACACCGGTGACAAATGTATTTGTGGGTTTTGTGACTGTTTTCCATGGAAGTGGAAACAGACTCTAATCTACGAGTAGAAACCAGGAAGGCTTTCTCTCCGGTGCAGCGTGGAAAGCGTGGCCGACCTCTTCCTCTCTCTCCTCCCCTCGTGATGTCATCACACTGTTTGTGATAATGAAGTGTTTGATTAACCAGCCTCATCCTGCATCTGAACAACACTTCCTGTTCAGACATGCACCCGAAGAGCTTGCACAGTTATGAACAGAGGTCGTCACTCTTACAATTTAAGCCATTTATTGTTTTTTAAGAACAGAAATGTGCTCATTCAAGACGGAAAAAAACAGATTCTCAGATTTGATTTATGACACTTAAATGTAAAAAATACATCATAAAACTGAAATATTTGACACAAAATTGAGTTAAAAAAGCGTATCTAAAATCTGCTCCCTGAGATCCCTCACACATACTGTGCACAGCCAGGCACAAAACCTCATTCATAATTTATTAAATGGTGGTGATAGTGTCTCCTAGCAACAAAATTATTTAGAAGAAGAGTTAAATGACTAAATCTATAACGCTCTAGCTTAGCATAAAGACTGCTAAGCTAACAGCCCGGCTCCCTTTTAAAGATCACATGTTATATGTCGTTGTTATATACCGGGCTAACCAACAGGGGCTCCAGGAAGTTACTGGCTGTTGCAACAACAACATAAGCTGCTAAAATGTGACCTTTGGACAGAGCCAGGCTAGCTGTTTCCCCCTGTCTTCAGTCTTTGTGCTAAGCTAAGCTAACCGCCTGCTGGCTCCGGCTTCATATTTACAGTACAGACTTGAGCGATCTGCTCATCTAACTCTTGGCAAGAAAGTGAATAAGCGTATTTCCCAAAATGTCAAACTATCCCCTTGAGGCACTAAAATTCACTGCACAGTTTTCTACAGTACAATCACTTAGGCTGTCAGTTTGTCTTGCATAGAAAAAGAATCGTGGTGCCCTAAAAATACAGTAAGGAAAGAAAATAATACTGCAACTTTGGTTCCAACTATACACTCCCTTCAGGGGATGTCACTAAATGTCCATTATGTATAATACTGTCCTCTTGTTTCAGAGTTTTCTGGCCTCTTGTGTTAAAGTTCATCTTTGCATCTTGAAGTTTTCAACAGTCACTTGAACCTCCTGAGATCACTCCTGCAGGCTGCTGCTGTGGTGATGTGTGATGGCCCTCTGGTAGTCCTCCGAGGTGTTTATGTGGTCCGGGACTCCCGGGTGCTCAAAGCCGCGGTAGAAGTGGCTGCTCATCCCCTGGGCGTAGTACAGGAGCTGCCTGGCAAACATCGGCTCCACCTGAAACACGGACGGTCAGACTAGTTAGTGAAAAGGCTTCAAACTGTTTCCACTGAAGATAGTTTCTATGAGCTTAAATCAGAATCAAATGATCAAAGGTATTATTTGAAAGACTAAAATGGAAGTTTTAAGAGCTTGAACTATGGTTTGAAAAATGAGAAATAGGATTTGAAAGTCTAAAAATAACACCTGAAAGTCTGTAAGAGCTGCTTTGTTCTCATTGATTGTGCTGTTTCATAACTTTAAATTCAGGTTTCAGGCTGCATGGAGCTTTGGTCACACGATAGCTGGTACCTGTTATCGCAGGCGAGATTCAACACGCTTGTTTCAGTGTTTAAGATCTGCTCTTTCAGCTCTAACAAACTGAGATGGTGCTAATGGAACAGCATGGATAGCAGTTCAGGCCTCTGAATAACTGTCCACATCTCAGATTGACTCACGGGGCTCTGCTGTTGAGCTTATTAGCGGCTGTTTTGGAAAAACACCCAATCGATCTGAACTTTGATCAGGAATGGGGATGTTGCTAGAAAATAGCAGAAACTTTCCACAGAAATGTGTTTGCTGTATGTTGATTTGCAGATATAATAACTCTTAAATCGGAATTGGGGCGGCAGCTTGTTACTATTTTCATTGATCAATTATTAAGTCTTCCAATTCTAATCTTGATTACGTTGTAAGTTTTTTAGGCTTCATAATTTAGCAAAACAGTGAAAAGTGCCCATCACAGTTTAAAGCCCAAAGATGATGACATCAAATTGTTCCAAAACCTAGAAATATTCAGTTTACGAACATGAGACAAAGAAAAGCAGAGAGGCCGGACTAAGGGAATGTTTGGTATTTTCACTTCTCAATTAATCAATTAATTCTTTAAACTCTAATCTGCCTATTTCATCAACTGAGAGAGGCACAGCCAATCAGTTCAACCTCCGCTCTTTGGGTTTGGTTGTTTCTTTTTATTCTGGGTTTCAGTGTCAGACCCATCATCCAATTAACTTAGCTATAGTGTTAAATTAGCCTGATAATCCTTGTTTTCACTTTAAGTCACAAAGGTGTGCAGTCTGAAACTGAATTTAGTTAGTTATGAAACTTTATGACTTGGAAGAAGTTCTTACAGACTTTCAAATGTTGGGTTTTAACTTTCAAGTCCTATTTTTCACTTTTCAAACCACACTGTAAACTTTCCAGGCTTAACTTTTAACCCAGTAAATATAATGTTTAAAGTACAGTGAGAAGATATGAGGAAGGGCTAATTAAACAGTGCTTTCTAGCATTACAGTATGGACAATCACCTGGGCAGTGAGGGTCCGTCTCTGTCTCTGCGGGTCCAGACACTCGTCTCCAAAGTGCAGCAGGATCTGTAAACGTGGCAGCGGCCGACCATGGAGCCCGTAACTCTGGATCTCTGATAGCCAGGGAGGAGACAAGACCAAGTAATTGTTAGCTTTGACATTGCAAATAAATGTGAACTTGTACAGATTCAAATGAATTCAGAAGAATTTCACTTGAAGTGGCATGACCTTTGGGGTGATTCGAATGGAAAGTCCTGGTCACACTATGTATGCAAATACAATTAGCTGTCAGCCTTTTACACAGCTGGTGCTGTGTTAGCATGTGGGCGGGGATGATGTGACTGTGAAGAAGTCATGTGATTGTTACCTCATCATGAAATACTACTTAAAGAAGTTTGTCTGGCTCAAGTATTAGGTGATTTTGACTTTTTAGGGGGTTTATTTGTCTTAAGTTTTGTTCTTAAGTATTTCTCCAGAGTGGTTTACAGTAAATGAGCTGTACTTTTCCTCAAAGACAGTTCAGACAGATGGACAAACCTCTACTTTCATTCAAATCTGCAGCTGAATTATTGTAAATTTAGCCCCAGTTTTTCTCTTATGTATTACATTCCAGTCACAGAGCTAAGCACCCCCTTTTCTGAAAAACAGCTAGACGGTAAAGTCTGAAAAACCCAGAAGGTTGATTAATAGCACTCTGAAGGTATTTCCAGAATCATAAACCATGTGGATGAAAAGATAGCAGTCTGCTGAACTATAAAAAGTATTTTACCCCTTTCTCAAGCTGCAGCTTCTTGTTTAGTGCTGAAATAATGAGTGGAGTAATAAGTTGGTGTTTTGGTAGATTTGGTTATTAACTTATTTAATCAGTTAATTCCTGATTTAAATTTAGTAACTTAATTGATAGAAAACTAATTTATTTCCGACTTTGTGCAAGCTTCAATGTAAGTTCAAAATTTGAATACATCGCACCACAGTGCACCATGCTTTCTGTGCTGGAGAGGAGTTGTGCAACACGCTTTAATTTTGTAGAAAACTTATATGAAAAGTTGCAGTCATTTCCTGCTGTCATTTTCCTGCTGTCTCACCTGTCAGGTAGTCCTGTGTGTGGAGGAGTTTACAGTTGACCTCTCTCTCCAGTTTGTTGAGCTTGTCTCCATACTGGGCCAGTCCTCCCTGCCAGTACACTCTGCTCTGACACAGCCTCCGAGCGTAGAGTCCATCTGGGCCCATCCACAATAACACTCCCCTGTCCAAGGCGGACGGGGGACTCGGGGGACACTCTTCTGGCCTCCTGAGACCGTCCATAGGCAGTGGGATCACCTCAGGACTCCCAGGCTGCAGGTAGTGCTTCTCCTCTGGGGGGCACGGCATGATGTGGCACCCCTCCAGACTGGATGTGGTCACCTCCCTTATCACATTGTCCCGGAAATATATAGACACGTGCAGGCGGTAGTCTGGTTGGAGGAGAAGAGGACACACGTGGAGGTCACTGAACATGTTTCCTGACGCCTTTCTTAAACTTTTACAGATAATTTTATTGTCCTGAATCCTAAGGTTTGTAGTTCTCCAAGTACTAGAACAAACAAGTGTATACTATTAATCCTGTATGCTTTCTATCATTGTTGTATGGCCTCAGGTTAAACCCTTTGTTAGAATCAAAGGAAGGCGGGCCCTGATTCCACTATCTTGGGGGGAAAATATGGCGAACGGCGAGCTGGGAAGTAGCAGGGTCCTGTTTCGGACTAATAAATTACGTGGTATCGGATCGGTGCCTGGACTCCAGTACTCGCCGATACCGATGCCAGCATTTTCGGCAGTATCGGAGACATTTCCG